GTTATGGAATTTTTAATTACCAACGATAAGCCTTTAAAGGAAATATGAAATGTAAATAGAACCAATCAAGTTTTTTTAAAAAAATTATAAAGGTGTTAAAAAAAAAAAAGTTATCATCCTTAAAAAAACCTTAAACAAAATGCCTAAAGATACCCAAAATCCTCAAAAACGTGAATTTATCTCTGAAAGGGTTATTACATACCCTTATCCCAAACCCAAAGAACAATTTGTCAGTAAAGATATCTATGAAGAGGAAAAAAGTTTTTGTAAACGAGAAAGAAAAGAGTTTGAAAGACGGATTGAAGAGATTAATGAAGCATCTCTTCAAAACATCAGTAAATTACAAGAAGTCATCGAAGAGAAGAATAATTTCATTGACGAATTACTTGACGAGTTCAGATGGCTTGAAGCATTCTATGGTTCAAGCTTCCAATGTGCCAAATAGGTCTATCAGAATCAAATATTTGTTCCTATCTATCAAGAGGGAGTTGATGAAAACCTATATTCTGAGGATCTTTATATAGATCCCAAAGTTCTAGTAGACAATACTGTTAATAATCAGGAAGTTAATAATATTAAGAACCTTAATAACCAAGAGGTTCCAAATTATGTTAAGAGTCTTGATTCAGAGGAAGATGAATTAGATCATTTTAAAATTCCTGCTGAGATTCCAAAGGATGAATATGATTTCTTAAATTTTTCTGACTGAATAATTTTATTTCCTAAATAGTATTTTCCTAAATGTATTTCCTAAATAGTATTTTCCTAAAACAGTATTTTTTAAACAACTTGTGTATAAATAATTTTAATAAATAAAAAAATTATAAAAAGAATAAATGTCGTCTTTGTCACCCTTGTGATTTTTTTTTTTAAAAAAATCAAATAAATCGCAATCAAAGATTTTTACATATTATGTCTACCATTTTTTACTGTGTTCTTTGTTTAACTCGTTTCAAGTGCAAGAAAAACTTGTCTGATAAAGATAAACAGCAACGAGAAGAGGAATATTCGAAGACTGGAAAGGTTTCTCAATGTGATAAATGTCAGAAACTACATTGGAGGTGCAAAGATAAAAAGTGTATTCAATGCTGCAAATTAAACGAATGCAATGAAATTGAATGTTCTTATTGTAAAGAATCTAAAATCAAATGCCAATGTGTCTTACCAAAAACTAAAGAAGAATTCGCGGTATTGGAGAAACTTAGTTTAACATACATCTCCGGTCAATATGAAGCAACCGATTCAGGAAAATTACATGAACAGGCCTATTTTCAATTTGATAAACGCCAAACAGTATCTAGTGTAAAAAAAATATTCAACCATAAAGCGATGAATTTTTCAAGATATTTAAATGGCGATTCTGATAAGAATCGTGATTACAGTCAAAAACAATGGAATCGATGCAAAGATCCCAAGCATAAAAAGTGCCGTTGCGATTTCCAAGAGAAGGAAAAAATTTGTAACATATGTAATAAAGACTGTATAGACAAATGTACTCTAGCTCGTTGGAAAGCTTTAGAATTATCAAGTGCTGATAATGGCTTTTGGGTGTTTGGAAATTATTGTTATTTAGGAGCTTCTACTGAATTAAAAGGTGACGATACATTAAACGAGATGAGAGTGGAGGATATGAAGAGAATTGATTATATTGTTGAAAATAATCTTACAATAGATGATATATTAAAGAACAAAAAAAAACTACTCCCTAGGTCTTGGTTAAGAAGTTTAAAGGATTTAGAACACTTGATCAAAAAAGAGAAAGAGATTAGAGAAGTAAATTTAAAAAGATTTTGGCGTCCCTGCTGTATTTATTTATTTGGTCCAGGTGGATCCGGTAAATCTGGTTTGGTGCAAAAATTATTCAGAGAAAAACTGTATTCAAAACCTCAAAAGCAAAAAAGTAGTTCAAATTGGTGGGATAATTATTCTGGTCATGAGATAGTTTTTTTTGATGAATGGTATACTTGTTTATCGTAGAATGATATAGTTAAGCTGTTGAATGATACAGATGAACGAGTCGAAATCAAAAATAAAGGCTTTGTTCCTTTTCTAGCGAAATATGTTTTTATGACTTCGAGAAAAGCACCTCATGAAGCATTCAATTTTGAAAATGGAAATGTTGTTGATAATACAACGGTTCATCACGATTATGGCCAATTTGAACGAAGATTGGATTTTGTGATTCAATTCACTAGAAATTGGAATTCTGGGACAACTCAAATCCACTTTCTTAAAGGATCAGAAGCGGATTTTCGAAATATGAATTAGAAGATTGAATTTGATAGAGGTGAATTTTCAGACGATCAAATAGTTGAAAAAATTAAAATATCAAGTTTTAAAGATGAAGAAATCATTTTTGAAAATAAAAAAGTATCATGGCAACAAAATTTTCCTTAATACAAAAAGAACTATCTTCGTGACTATCCACATAGCAAACCTTTATACGAATACAAATTGGAACTCGAGAATCCTAATGAAGCATCTACTTCATTGGACAATTTAGACTACAATTCTGAGATGAGCAAATATAATTCGGACGATTCCAATTATACTAAAGAGAGAAAAATGAAAAACAAAACCAATGGCAAACGTAAAGCAGATCAATTAGAGAAAACAGTTATTAAAAAAAAAAAATAAATAATAATTTTTATTTCATTAATAAAAAAAACTAAAATAATTCTTTCCCATTTCTATTTCCTGTAATTTGGTCATGAGCTAATTTAAAATCTATTGCTAATTGTTTGGCTTGTTCAAAAGTTCTTGTTTTTGTTATACGAAACTGTTTAACTTTAAGTTTGTTATTCTCAATCCATTGAAAGCACCAAGCTTTAAGTGTTTTATGATAATAGATTCCATTATAACCAGATGAATTAGTATTAAATAATTTACGATTTAATGCATTTTTTCTTGGTGTTGTTTCTCTCAGGTTACATTCACGGTTATCTAATCTACAACGATTCATATGATCAACCATATTCCATTTCGGACGAATCAAACGATGAAGTTGTAAATGTTTTCGATTTTGATCTCATGTTTGAAGATAATATGTGTTTCCATCTTTAACACAATACCAAGTATATTTTTTAATTATACCATAATTTTTGATATCGATCAAAAAAGTGATTCCTGATATTTGGGTTTCAACTTCAAAATAATCGATATTGAGAATAGATATCTTCCGAATTCGATTATAAAGCTTATTTTTGTGAATTCTTTTTCCTAATTCCCCAAAAATCCAAAACGTTTTGATTGTGAAAGTTGGATGAATTTTCCTTCATAGTGAATTTTGAGATTCAGCCTCTAAAAACAATCTTGTTGATTCAAACATTTTTTTTTAAAAAATTTATTTTTAAAAAAATTAAGAATACCTTCGAGAATGTCGAAGGAATTAAGAATACCTTGCTTCATATTTATACATTCATTCAGTTTATTTTTATTTATTTTATTTATTTATAATACGAATAAATATTTCGAAAATATTTGCAGCTACTACATCTAAAAAACCATTTTTTTCCGTTGTTTGAATTTCTGAAATAAATTTGTTTTTGTTCTTCAGGATATTTACATAATTCAGAATATTTGAAACCTGAATGATCATACTTAGATGTAATATATAAACAACCTAAATTAATAATAAAATCTGTGATAAAAATATTATCAAATTTGTTTCCAAATAAATTTATTATGATAAGTTCCCAAAAACTAAACACCGGTTTTTCTTTCTTTCCGATCAACTTACTCAGACCAAAATAATAATTATGTTTATATTTAAACAAATTAAATAATAGTATGGTCGAATCAAGAGTAAAATTCGACAGATTCTTTTCAAAAAGAGTATTGAATCGGTCTAGAAGGATAGTTTCGAAATAGAATTTAGAGGGTTTATTAATCAATCTCATTTTATCACAGATCCGTTTCGGATGTTGTTTTGAGGTGATATTATGTTGATGGTGTGTTATCTTTTCAATAATTTCGTCAGCTAATGTTCGAAGAATTTCAAACAATATATCTTCTGGTAATGTAATCATTATTGTTTTCTTTAACTTTCTATTTTCTAGAATATTTATATTTATTTTTTTTTTAATTCTGTCCGATCATGGATCGATAATTTCCAAATCAGAATTTTACGGATTCGGCAAATATTAATAAATCATTTCCAAATCAGAATTTTACAGATTCGGCAAATATTAATAAATCATTTCCAAATCAGAATTTTACGGATTCGATTAAATTATCTCCTTGAATTTGATTCGCTGGTAATGGTTTCAAAGTATTCAATATATTCCAACTTTTACCGAAAAACTATTCACAAAGTATTCCAAATCGAAAATACTCCTTGAATTTGATTCGCTGGTAATGGTTTCAAAGTATTCAATGTATTCCAACTTTTACCGAAAAACTATTCACAAAGTATTCCAAAAAGTTCAAACTCCTGCAAAACATGTTCGAACTTTTACAAAAAAAGTTCTGATTTCGAATAAG